CAATCTAGCCCACTCTGCCATCGTTCTTCCACTACAAAGGAGGTCTGGCAACTGGTAGTCTGCATCACGTTCAGTGTACTCCACTGACAAGTGTAAATAGGCACGACTAGCTCGGCCGAAAGCTATGGATAAACAACGCCAATTAGAAAGTGGTCCCTCGGACAAGTGTGAATTCGAATGGAACTCAACCTAACAAAAAGTACTAGAATTGCGAACTTCATTGAGAGAGTGTTATCCCAAATAAAAAACGGTTTTTGAACATTCCCCATCTATTCGTTTTCATAATCTGTGTGGAGCATGACTAATCAAATGTCTGAAACACTCATTTGGAGACGGAAATGTTTCTGAAGATCTTTTTTGTATATGTTAATTTGGCTTTTATAAGGCTCATCCACGCTATTCATTTCACAGAGACGACGGTATGGGGCACTGGAGGTGGAGTACTTGGATTGGGTTCATACATCTGCTGATTCTAGCTGGAGGTACGCAAGGTAAGTTTCAATAAGAGGAACATTTCAAATTAACAATCACTATAGTTGATGTGAGGTGATAAAGACTTGAATGATATTGCGTAGAATATTTTTACTCAATATGGCAACGTGCCATGCAATATGTTATCGCATTCTAAAAACGTGCACATTTGAAATAACCGGTTTCAACAATGCCCCAGTCTTTCAATGTACATATGCCAAGCTTTGTAATGTAACATAGTGTACGTAATAGCGTGGATGGGCCTATGGTTATGCGTCCTAGATTAACCTCTAGTGAGCTCGGACTATGTTGTCACCATGCGTATGACCAGAAAGCGCGTATCATAATTTCTTCCCTGGGATAAACAGCAAAATGTTTAAACGGGGTGAAATGAAATAGCTCAGAGTGTTATATATCACAATCGTTAACATTATCTGACTTAAGTCAGGAATGCACAATGCCATTTAGAAAGTGGTCAAATGTAGCATATTTTATATTTAGGGTTACACTTTGTTAGATATTCTAGTACTTTTGTTGGGTTGAGTCCCATCCGGGATTCGAACCCACATCCTCAGAGTCAGGCACCTAATCGCCAGCACACGAGATCAGACGACTAACCCGCTCAGCCACTGCGGCTTCAACAAAAATGGAAGACGGACAACTTTTGATTGCGAATTTCAATTCTTGGCTTGGTGCAAGGAGAGGTATCAAGTGTTTAACGGTATCTTGTGTGTTTATGGTTTGTTTTCAGCGATTGTCTTAGTGTGTGAGAGGCTGTGTGTACATGGATGCGCGCGTGTGTTTGTGTGTATGTGTGTTGTTACGTCAATGAGTCGCTCCAAATATAGAATCACAGTCAAAAGTTAGGTGCTGAGCTGGTTAGGCGCCTGACTTTGTGTGCTGGCGATTAGGTGTCTGTGTTCGAATGCTGGATGGGACTCAACCCAACAAAAGTACTAGAATCTGTACTTCACTAAGAAAGTGTAATCCCAAATGTAACATACGTTATATTTGACCACTTTCTAAATGGCATGGTGTAATCATAGCTTACGATCGTGGGAGCTGTGCCAGTTTACATTTATCAGAGGGGTACACAAAGTCCGCAGTCTAAACTACCAGTTATGTGACTTCCATTTTTGTGGAAGTTGCGGTGGCTGATCGGGTTAGGCGGCTGACTTTGTGTGCTGGCGATTAGGAGCCTGACTCTGAGGGTGTGGGTTTGAATCCCGGATGGGGCTCAAACCAACAAAAGTACTAGAATCTGTACTTTACTAATTGGCATTGAGTCTCTCACTACAGCTGCTGAGGTTCCGGGATGTGGTCAGACGCTTGTGAGTTGAGGGAATCAGAATGTTAATAGTTCTACTGGTAATACATAGATGAATTATGTTATGAGCATCTATCGTGCAACTGTCAAAGAAGTAACGCATGTAATATAAGAATGACATCACTGCATGCCGGAATTGCTATATGTCTGATTCACAGACACTGTGCCACGGTAGTTTCCAGAGTAGGGTCATAAAGACAACTAAGTAAGCATATAATATGTTATACTTTTGCTTTTTACTGTCCCGTAAGGAACTACAAAGATCTTACCACACCTAAACAACATATTGTTTCGATTTCACCAGTTTGTGGTTCTCTCGTGATCATTTTCCAGTGATACTTTTGTGAGCCAACAAAGTACAAACTTGGGTTAGACGAAGAATATTGTCACCAAAATATGGCAATGTGTTTTCACGTGATTCCAGGGCATTTAGCCCTTGCACAATTAGTATTCTTTCCAGACTGACGTCGAAACTGCCTTATCATGATATGACTGATATCAATGATCGATCAGTAGTTCGAGATTCGAAGGGACATAACTCTAGATACAGACTGGAGGTATGCTGATTAGTTTCGTATCCGAAAACGCATGACGCTGAGAAAGCGATAAACTGTGTCCTCCTTTACTTACGGTAACTGGTTAGGGCCATCGCTTTCTCGACTTCGGAGGCGAGAAAGTGAGAAAGCGCTATCACGAGACGAGAAAGTGATAACGCGAGACGAGAAAGCGATAACGCAACACGATAACACAAGACAAGAAAGCGATAGCAAAAGACGAGAAAGCGATAACGCGAGATGAGAAATCGATAGCACGAGACGAGAAAGCGATATCATTGCGCGAGAAAGAATGCGAGAGAGCAATATAAGAAGGCGAGAAAGCGATAGAGCAAGAAAGCAAAATAAGAAGGGGAAAAAGTGATAGAGCGAGAGAGCGATAACACGAGAAAGTGAGAAAGCGATATAGCGAGAAAGTGAGAAAGTGATAGAGCGCGAAAGCGATATTTCACATAATCTTGCCCTGTCTGCACATGACGTCTTGTCTGCGTATGATTTAATCCAACAGAAGGCTTTATCGCCATTTGTTTTAGTCTTATAGAAACAAAATGAACATGTATGCTTTCAAATTCTGTGGCATTTTTCTAATTAATCCTTTAACTTGTCCAAACAATAACCCAACAACAACTCCAGAAACTGAGTGTGTTTTCGTTGAAATAAATGAGTGCTTTTAAAAAGTCTGTAAAAAGGATAACAATCATTATTGTTACATCACTAATTTGGCCTGGATAAATTCCCGGTTTACATTTCTTTATTGTCATTTCCCTTGTTAAATGCCACCATTGTTATCTCAACATTCATGCGGGGATTAACAATCCCTGGCTCCCATTTGCACATCCACCCTACCAATTTAGCGCTAAAATTAAGTACTGGCATACCTTGTTATCTTATCACAGTTGTGTCTTTAGTTTTCTGTTTCCTAGTTTCTAGTCTCTTCATTCACCCGATGAAGGATAAGAATATACTCCGTAACATCGTGTTCCACAAATACAGAACTTGACATCCATAAATTCTCTTAAATACCTTTAGGTTTTTCATGTTTTATGAATCCTCTTTTATGAGCCAAGTTTTCCACTGGGCTTAGCTACACATTTGTCTACTGCCCATGTTACCCGTGAAGATCCGGGTGAGATTGGTCTTTAGCAACTCATGCTTGTTGTAAAAGGTGACTAACGGGATCGGGTGGTCAGGCTCGCTGACTTGGTTGACAATGTCATCGTAACCCAACTGCGTAGATCGATGCTCATGATGTTGATCACTGTATTGTCTGGTCCAGACTCGATTATTTACAGACCGCAGCCATATAGCTGTAATATTGCCTAGTGCGGTGTTAAACAACAGACCAACCAAACCAACTTCTCGTCGGGCCTTATTGTATCAGTGATGGAATTTTATACACCCTGTGCCTTTCACCTGGTCTTTTTATGTGTGCATATTTCACACATATATATTTCTACTATTATGTGAAAAAGATATTGTTCTAAATGTATGTGCCATAGTCTCTCATATTTCTACAAGAATGGCTTGTGTACATACTTATATGTATACGTATCCCAACTATCGACAGTGCCACAATTCATCGACCGACGTGGTAGGTGTGTTCAACAAAAACGTAATAAAATTATTACTTGGGGAATAAAGCACTATATCATAAAACAGCTGTATATTGAAAATGATTTAGTTTAAATGGGGAGTTGAGAAGTTGGACGTAAGAGGGTTGGGAAGTTGATTGTGTAATAAGTTCAACTAAGTAAGTGGTGTAAAGTATATTGTCACTTATTAAGCAGAACAGTTAAACTGTTGCTGATAAGCTAATAAGGAGTCTACTAAATAGATGAAAAGGGGTTAAATGTTAAAAAGTAGGGCTGGGGGAGGCAGCGTACGGTGTTTATGTTTTGATTGTGAAAAATGCGGTGTGTGGCCTTGACATTGTGAGTTAGTCTGGATAATCGAGCATACACTGTAATGTGTGGTTGGATAGGGATGTTTTAATGGGTTTATTCTGAATTTAAGAGTGCCTTTTTGTTTGGTGTTCTGATGTTTTGTTTTCAGACCCAGTCTGGTAGTTACTGAGTAATTTGTTTTTTTCTAGTAACTACTAGGTAGTAGGTACTAGTCTTTGCACCTATGGCTTTTTTATATATTGCAAGGAGTTTAGTTGGGGATAGAGAAGGACGGGAGCGACGCACTGCAGTGTGAACATGATAAATGTTTTGTAGATGTGTAGGAGGGTTTATTTGTCTGCATCCCAGTGAATGTCACCTACTGCTCTCATTAGATTTGAATCGTTTTGACATGAGTTGCTAAAGTTATCAATAAGATGATACAGGTAGATAGTTCGATATATTGAACAAGTTTCAATTCTCCTCTGGAAACGAAACTGTTACGAAAGGTCAATTGGATACATGTGTCACCAATCTGCTTTTCAAAACCTATGCGACCACTTCCAGCTGTAGCCTTTACTTTACTTTTATTCTCAATAGACCACCAATGGTGGTATAAGAGTACATATCACACACATCAATTATTACATACAGTCAAAATGGCGGCACAGTACAACAATATATTGTAGAAAATCAGTTGTTGGTATAACATGTCTATTATCTAACTTTTGTTAGAAGAAAACTTGGGGAAAAGATGAGTCAATATAACGAAGATAACAATGTCAGCTCAAGCAGTCATCCTCCAGTTCTCGCTTCACAATGCAACATCAGAGGATGCGGGAAGATACCACTGTTCCACATGGCGTGATGACCCCATTCCCAATTGTCAGCACATGTTGTATGTACAACGTAGGTACACTAGTTCAAAAACATCACCATTGACGTATATTTCTGTGATATAACATGTTGACAGTTTCAGTGTCATCCCAGTAATATAGTATCGGAGGTCTTGTTGATAATCTGTGTGCTTCTGTACAGCAGTCGTTATTCGAGGTTGTCCGACAGGACATTCCTGTCCATCATTCACTTGATTGTCTGCTTTACAGGCTGCCGTGTCATGGCTATAGTATTGATGTCAAGCAAACATAGTTCCAGTTTAGGCATATCTTATGGATGGCGGCTGCTAGCGGTAGGGCAGGACATGCTTACACTTCTTTGTGAACACCTGGTGTCATTACTTCCTTTCAGAGGTCCGTTTATACAACCTTTCCAGCTATTTTCCTTTAACACTAAACTGAATGTCTTTCTGAGGATAGTCAGGACACGCTATTTATTTGACGTTTTGTTCGTATTGAGCAATTTAATTTGATTTTATGTGTTATTAAGGAAAACACGCTCACCCATACATCAGCGTCGTTGTCAGCACTACCAACATCGTTTTGACATGCAAAACCAAGTCGTCAATTGTACCTGTGGACCATGATCTTAGAATGATATACACGTGGAAGAGAAACGGACAAGATGTTGAAGTTGGTGGGAGGTTCCACGCTTCAGGACAAACCCTGGCTTTGATTGATGTGAAGAAAGAGGACCTGGGCAACTACTCATGTCAATGTACAGAGGAAGGTCTTGCATCCAACTGGAGTGATACAGTCGATCTCCAAATGCTAGCAAGTAAGTGCTGAATGCAAGAACTAGGCAGGTGAATCATAGAGCTGGTTTGGAGCTGATATCACAAATGTTCCATCATGTCTTCATCAACATGCAGACCTTCAATGACAAATATATTGTGTTCAGTTATATCGTGGTGGCAATGCTATTCAAAATAATTCAGTGAAAGGGCAATTCAGTTCAATATGAACTGTCTCAAAGAATATTTTGCCAGAGACGATACAAATATCTTGACCTGAGGCAACCCCGTGCAAGTAGACAGGTATACACGTACGTTGTTATCAGGTAGTTGAATTAAAGTGCAAAAAGTCATATGAGCCTTGTTTACAATATACTTATGGGAACAAGTAACTATGCTTGATATAAAGTTCATTGGAAAGAGCTTAATTCTGAAATGGAAAAATGCATCTCTGATTAAGATGCATGAGGGCTACACTACTTAAGTCGTTATTTATAATTCCCACGTGCAATTTAAATAATGTGAACAGCACATAATCCTTGTTAGCTACCATGTTCTGATAATGGCATTTTGTTTAACCGTAATGTCACATTGTGTTATAAATAAACATCTACACCCCGTTGGTATGATCTTGAGTCACATTGTCCAGCTATGAAGTGGATTTACAATCAGGATTGTAAGCATGATGCATGGTGAATACATCCCTTGTTACTGCTCAACATGTCCTACATTCTCATAACTATATTACAGGATACATGTAGAAGATATTTCCAAAGTTAAAGTGTTTGTGACAAAAACTGCATTCGACACCATTCCCTGTTTCGACATAGACAGAAACTGATAGTTGTCATGTGAAGCAGCAACGTGTTACACGTAATCATTCTTGCTCTGTTCACGCAGTAGGCAGGACGGTCGCCATTTTGTTGCGGCAATATGTCATTGCAAAAATCAGAATAAACTGAGAATCCCAAACTTGACAAGATTATGTCCCTTGTACAAAAAGTGTCTGACGACTGTGAAGAGCTAAGAGAACTAGTTGCTGCACTTGAGAGCGAGTCTTATCGCCTGGGAGCGAGGGCGGTGACCAAGAACCGTTGACGTCCCAATTTAACCGGCGCTCAAAAGATCAGACCAGACCCAAGTCGCAACTGGGGACGGAGATATTAAAGGTGAATACTGGAGTATTAGGGACACGGTTTCTAGTGTAAAACTAACCCCAGAATTACTGGTAAATGGCAGTCGTTAGGGAAGTAGATTGCAATACCAATGCACGTTATGTCTTTATTACTACAATGTAGTCATTCGGACTGTGGTAGTCGTCACGACCAGATTTTAGTCATCCTTCGAGTAGAGATAGCTTATCTACAAGACGAGTTTTCAGCGCTCGCAGTTCAAGGTCAGTTCGACCCGACTTTTTCGAGATTCTTCAGGTCACTTCAACGTAACACGTCAGAGTTTTAAAGAACCTTTGAAGCGCGGCAGCGATGTCTACTGTGTACCCTCCTCAGCGTAGCAGAGGCTTTCATCGAGGCAGAGGCGGTTTTCGCGGACGAGATGAGTGAAGGAGTATGTATGCCATTGGCAACAAGACCAGAGGGACTCCGACTTGACAATCATACATTTTCTCAGAAACAACATGTGTTTGTGTGAGACGAGATTCACCAACGGATCTCATGGTTTAATCTTTAAGGTTGCTGGTACAGAGTTTTTTGTGTGTGATAACGCTTATAGTCAGGTTTACAAGTCCTCATAGTTTTTCTCATGGTGGGCTAGCCTAATGGTTAAAGCGTTGGCTCGTCACGCCAAAGGCCCCGGGTTCGAATTCCCACATGGTACAATGTGCGAAGCCGATTTCCGGTGTCGTCCGCCGTGATGTTGCTGGAATATTGCTAAAAGCGGCGTAAAACCAAACTCAGTCATTCAGTCATAATTTACTACCTGTCATTAATTCTTGTAAGATATGATAGCTTCTACCTTTGTAGCCTTGTACTTATATTTTATGAGAGCTTCAGTAGTAACATTGGATACTTGTTACCTCCCCTATACCATCAGTTGGCAACACACGTATTACACTCTGTTCTACATACATGCATACACGTACAAACACGCATACACACACACACACACACACACAAACCCCTACACACATACACACTCAGACATATACACATACACAGGCAATCATAAAATCATACACACAAACCAAACCCCTCACACCACAAACTAGCATGATAAATCGGCACTGAACTAACTCCACGGACTCATCGAGACTCCATGAATGTTATCATTTTGACATTCAAACACTATTCCTATGCAACAAAAATATGTTTCTTTGGTCTAGGTGGGTCTACTTGTTGCTGACTTTGTTTGTCGAATGTATTTTCATGTAATTGTGGTAAGAAAGTGTAGTCATGAAGTGTATCCCTATTCGGTTTCAAATGTAAGAAGATTGTAGGGTTATGACTCCATAAGACACGTTAACTCATTTCACTTCTTTATGTATATGTGTATATAAAACGTTTCTACAGCTAGAAATGTCGAAGTACCAATGTAAGACCTCTTTTGAAATAACGGTGTTGATGGTATTCCACTTGCATGTGCTTATTGTTTTAATGTTGCATTCGTGCACTAGTGTAAACCATTTTATGTAGAGATGGAGTTATTTATGTTGGTGAGGGGGATGCAAGTCTTATACTTGTTTAGACTGGAGCTCACACCTTTGGTGTGACGGACTGAAGTCATGTCTTGAAGTATCTGTATTATATAACGTCAGTGATACCATAATAGCAGGGATAAATAGTTCCTCGTGTTATAGCTGTGGTAGCGTCATACATAATTAGAAATAAACATATCAGTTGTACATGTACAAACAAAAGACAATGTACGGTTTTAGCAAATCAGCTGGCTTTAAAATGGCAGTGCAAAGATAGAAAGGCCTGTTTCTATCTGTTATAAGCCATAATGTAATGTGAGTTTTATTGCCCTAACGACATGTACGCTAAAAACACTACAACTTCAGGAAATCAAATGGCATTAAAATATTTGCGCTGAAAAGAAATGATGTTTTCACTTTTATCCACGACAATGTTCTGAATGTTCTGTGATGTTATTTCCCTAATAACAATGCATTTTCCCCAGAACTTGAAGTTGGAGAACTGACAGTGAATGGAACAACATGCAAAACTGTAAAAGAAAATCAAGTTGTCGTCTTCAGGTGTATGGTTGAGGGTCCTCCATTCGCAGCTGTGTCTCTTATTCAGGAAAGTACTTTGGTCTCAGTGGATATGTCCAGGACACAACAAAATGTGTATGAACATGTTATGGTTGTACGGAAGTGTTCTCAGCTCGGGGTGTATTCTTGTAGAGCCACGAATGTTGCCGGTACATCAGAAGATGAACAACATACAGTTGTCTTGAAAGGTTTGTCTCGATTTTAAAACCACCGTGTCATGGTAATTCATTTCAACAGAGTAAACAAAAGTACATACACACTCAAACGCTTCTATTTCTGCCCTTTTCTATATTCACCATTAGATATACAGATGTCGGATAGATTCAAATGCATACTTTTGGGTTATTCGGTTCATCAGATTGCTATCGTTTCGTAGAAGGAACTGAAAGGTTAGTCACTCATACGCCTGCGTTTGCCGACTTTTCGTTATTCGTCACTACATGGGGTCTGATAGATAAACGCTTGTCACACTGAGGCCCAGTGTTCAATTTGGCACAATGGGATAGTGTGTGGAAGACATTATTGGTGCCATGGATGATTATCTAAATGTGCACATCTCCTTTCAGGAATGCCACGTGAACAAGCATCACATGCTTCTGTGATCATTGGAAAGACTCATTCGATGGTTATCAGCATTACGCTGTGTTCATACCCTGGACCATCGAAACCAAAACTGGGCTTCACACAGTCAGGCAATCTTAGAGATATTACCAACATAAAGAAGTATGACCTGGCAACCAAGAATATACCACACAATGTATTTGAATATTCATTCATTATACATAATATCACCGACGCAGACTTTGGGGTATACAAATTCAGTGTGGAATATAATCACTCTTCAACTGATTTCAATATTTCTGCCTCCAAAAAAACAGGTACGAAAAGTTGACATCATATATCATCTTGTAAAGTAGAATGAATGTTAATGGATCTCTGAAACATACAAACTGAAAACTTTGATGTTGCATAGTCAAGTGAAATGAACACAGTAATAGTATTAAACCTGTAACAACTATGTTGGTGCACTTGCAGATATTCCAGGAAGGAGTCTACATCTTGTTGTTGGTTGTTCAGTGGCCGCGATCGCTATAGTCCTGGCCATCATTGCTGGTGTCATCCTGTCACGATTCAACCAGATACGAGGTAAGATACATGCCGTTCAACAAATAATTTACACCATTTTTGAGACATTATACTTGTGATATTTCACAACGGGAATCTGAACATGTAAATTACATTTAAGGGGTCTAACATTTATCAAGTAATCAATATAGATATCGTTTTCAGAATATCGAGTACATACCTCTAACCTTCATTTCGCGTTTCAAGTATCTTCGAGAATCTTGAGTATAACACTAAATTTATTATCGTTATCATTTTTCAGACTACTGGCACCTAAGGCAAGTAGTATCTCTTTATTCTTCTATTGTTGGAACATGTCATTTATATATATTACCGTGTGATCGTGTATATGCATGCATTACAGAGCGTTTTGGTAACCCCAGTATAATCCACAGGTTTAGATCGTACATGACACCCATGCAGAACATGCCAGAACATATCGATGATCGAGAGTATGCTGAAATCGACGATGCTGATTTATCTGGTCGTGGAGCAGGCAACATTGTGCAACCTGTTGTTGATGTCCCGGATGATAACAACATTCCACCTGCATGCGGTGCAAGACACAGGCGGGAGAGGCAGCAGATGGAATGTGAGGATGATGAATATGAAGAGATGAGACCCCTAGATGCTACCAACAGAGAAGAACACCTAACAGAGCAAGGCAGGACAGCTGAAATGCAGCAGCCTGACATGGATATTAAGGAAGACATTACGGATGAGATGATCATGACATTACCTGGCTCCCATGTTCATTCAGAACCCAGGATTGTTGTTGGTGATTGGTCGGCTGAAGGAAGAGAATCTGGAAATATGGCACCAGCGATTATAAATGAGTTTGCAGAAACAAGCTTCATGACTCAAGAACCTAATGAAACAGGCACTGATAAATTACCCGCTGCCGGTGGAATGTATTCAGGAATAGAATAGGTGGGATGTCAGCAATTGAGGCAGAAGAAGATGATCCCTTGGTGGAAGGAAGAGATGATTTTGCTGAAAGTGAATCGCTTGATTTGCCTTCCAACAGATATGCGAGTCTGATGCCGCACCAACCTGTAGATACTTACACAGCGTTGGACAATGATGATGATATTGCGCATGATTAGTACTCAAATATGTGTGCATTTATCGAAGGACAACACTCACAAATTGTATCAAACTGCGTGATAAATCCATTGCACAAATACTTCGATGAACCTACGGCATGTTTATGGAGTTGATGCATGACACGTACTCTGCCATGTGTTACAAGTGCTTCGTGTGAATATGTATGAGATGGGTACACACACCTGTATCAATCAGTCTTTCTGTAATGAGTGCTTTGCGATAAGGCCCAGGGATGTTAATCCTTTTGATATTAACCTGTAATGCTGTCAGTATATTATATATGTTTGTGTTGATTTATGTAAAACTGTATACAATGTACCCACATTGTGTGCCAAATACCGATTGTATTGATGCTTTTGTGGTATCACCAGCTTTTAGCACTGTACTGTTTGTTACACGCACTAAGAGAGATCAGGGGAGGAGAGTGTGTACAGTTATCTCTCCGTCTTTTCTTGTAGACTGAGCGCTTTGTGTTATTTTCGTTATATTGCAGATTCTTCATTTCGTCAAATATTAAATAGTTCAGCATTAATAACAGCTATTCATGTATGTGTTTTAACCTAACAAAAATGTGCTGCTAAACCCCGAAAGCTGTAGTAAGTAAACTGTACATATTGTCTATATTATGAGATGTTTTTGTGTCAATTGTCAATAGACTTTTCAAAGTCTAATACTGGCAACAAATACACTGTATATATTTCTTGAGATGTTTTTACTGTCAGTTCTCGACAGGTTTTTATAGCCTTAACATATTCCTTTCTATTATACAAATTGTTCTCAATTACATGGAACGTGGTATTCCGCATTCATGATCCAGAGCATTATGTGTGTATCACTGACTCTCAAATGACAAACTGTTCAGCATGGAACTCGGGGGCAAGCTTTCGATAATCTGAGTTTGTGAAAGAAGTATAAGTTCAATTCGGAAAATATTACAACAATGTAGTGAAACCTTCACTTACTCATTATTCGTCAGAAACACGCCGACGACTTAAGTTAGTGTAAAATATCTTTTTTTACGAATCTTAATAGATATATGTACATATAACTGTTACATATAATAACATTTATTTGACAAGATTTTTAATTACATATTCCGTGATAGTTTCAACATACGAGTGCCACAAAGCCTTAAATAGTCAGTGGGAGAATTACTTTGATCTAGAAATTCTGTTTCCGCTTTAGACGACTGGATAACACTTTTAACGCTTCATGTACCGATCTGTATCATTATGAGTATGATTTCCTGTTTACATTTCCATTACATTAGCTTTTGTTCCAGCTTGTATTCAACTGCTTATTTCAATAAATACCTTAAACGGTTTCTAGCATGCGTTTGTGTGTCAACGAAATTTGATTTGGGGCGTTACTTGTCACCAGAAATGCAAACTGTGTATTGATGTGAACTTAAAGGATTCCTACAACAGGGAATCAATCTAAAATGACTCAGTCATTGTCCTACATTGTTTCAGTCTCTAAATAATATGATGCAATGTTCATAAGAAGATCACCCCTGTGAGACACAATACATTGTAGAAACATTCCGACTGGAGGAAGGTTTGTCTATAGCTAAGCGGGTCACGCATGGGTTCGAATCCCCACATGTGGCCCCGCCGTGATAATGGTGGACATTTGCTAAAGAGGCGTGAAACTCTCACCCCCCACTGTAGCTATGCAGGTTGAGTCGTGGTTTCAATAACCGAGGCATATTTGTAACGATAAGTCATGTTACAACAAGGAAACCGGAAGATACTCCCATTGAACAAGCTGTATTCTGAAGTTTCACAAAAACAAGACATGTGTGTTTGCGTGGGATCGGATCCTTTATTATTAACCCTTCACACGTTTCTTGAGAGTGAGTGAATGTTGATATTCAAACAAATACTGGTGTCTGTGCTTACATCCTGGTTCCTGTAAAATGTTGGTGTGTGCGTGAGAACATGCTTGCGTGCGAGTCCCTGTAAGTGTGTGCATGATATGAAGAGCTAAACAAACTGTTGCATTGATCATTAATTAAAACTTAAAACATGTTTGTTTGCCCTAGCATATGTCATCAAACTCCTCGGAGTAATCAGAAACTGTGGCTGTACTGTCGACGTGTGTGGTCATGAATCAATACTGAATGAAATGCAAGAAAACCGAAACAAGGTTTTAACAATATTTAACCCTGGTCACCGGACTCGATCCTATATTAGAAACAAATCTACATCACACACTGAAAGATGTTTCCCAATTTAACGAGTCTTCTAACAGAAGATGAGTGCAATCGCCCATGATTAAAAATACCTTCTGAAAGTTTAAAGTTTAAAAAGATATTACAGTTGCCTCAGTTTCAGTGTTGCCTTACATTGACAGCATCACCACACATTTCAGTATTCCACATTTGGGTTCTTGTTCCGGTGTGGTGCTGATTTCATGTCAGCATTTTTATTTTATTTTTATTTTTATTTTTGTATTATTGTCATTATTATTTTTTCTTTCTATTTTATCTGGGATTTATTTTATTCCTTTATTTTGACAAATTTGGTTCCTTCTATTTGAGCTATGTGTCAGTTCCATAGGATTCAATCTAACTTTGAACACGATTGAGTGACGTAATGTAGCTGCAACGATTTGCTGGGTTTGATTCCAACATTCCCTAATCACGATCATAATTGCATCAGCACTATATATTCACTTGTAATTGGTTGGTTGTCGTTTAACGCCGTACTCGGCAATGTCACAGCTATATGACGGCGGTCTCTAAATAATCGAGTCTGGACTGGACAATCCTGTGATCAACTGTATGAGCAAATTCAATGATTTGTGTCAACCAAGTCAGAGAGCCTGACCACCCGATCCCGTTAGTCACCTCTTACGACAAGCATGGGTAGCTGAAGACAAATACTAACCCGGATCTTCACGACTCTCTTCATACGCTCCACTTACAAGGGGGCGAATCCATTTCACAGAAAGTGGCACCTTGGTGGAACATAACATGGTACATGTTGAGCTTTAGGGTTCAAACAAACCCACAATTGACCGGCCCATGTTATAGGATAACTGTCATATCTGCACTGGTATTTCTTGGAGTATTTCCTGATCGTAGGGTAGGAAAACAACACCACACATTTTCCGACATTAAACCGTACCCTTCAATCTATACTAAGCAGCAAAAGAAACGTCAGTTTGGAATTTTCCTTCGCAGAAACAGATAACTGTAAACTCATTTAATGTTTTGATTGTATATTTTTGACAACATTTCCAACTTTACATGAGCAAAGACATTCCTTCCCAAACTCAGAATGGAACCCAGGAAATGAACCTGATCTCTGAGATGGTACGGTGTTCTCCATGTTTTTCATGCAACTCATGCTGCATGTGCTGTTCACAAGGACCAGCCCTATAAAATGCACCCCAAAAAACCTGGTAGAAACATTCCGATTACAACGTCAGCAGCATGCCCCTTCTCACGACAGCTAAGAGGAACTAGGCGCTAGGAAGACTTGAAGCTGGCCACACTGCACAAGCCGTTGCCAATCACTTCCAGGTCAACGTTCCGACCATCTACAGGCGGCAGCAACGTTTCAGGGCCACCAACACCACAAATGATCGCCCCCGTACTGGCAGACCAAATGTGACCACAAGACGACATGTTGTGCGACAGCATGTACAGAATCCCTTCATGCAGGCATCCGAAACAGCACGCCAGACAGTGGGAACACACGGAAGACCAATCAGTACTGATACAGTACGCCGACGTCTTAACCTCCAATTCCGTAGACCTTACCGTGGACCTATCCTCACCCCTCGTCATCGGCGTGAAGGTCTACAGTTTGCCCTACAACACCAAAACTGGCGATACAGGCAATGGAGAACTGTTCTGTTCACAGGTGAGAGTCGGTACTGCGTATCAACTGCAGATGGCAGAACAAGAATATGGCGACGACGTGGCCAGCGTTGCTCAAACCAATGTGTTATGGAAAGAGACTCATTGGGAGGTGCAAGCAGAATGGCATGGGATGGAATAGGCCTGAACCAGAGAGTTGGTCCTGTGGTGTTCCAGAACCTACGTCCAGGGAGAGGAGCGGTGCGCTACATCGACCAAGCTCTCAGACCGTACGTCATACCACATTTCGCACGTCACCGGAACAACATTTTCCAGCATGATAATGCCCGGGCCCATACTGCCAGAGCTACACGGGACTTCCTAGAGCAGAAAAGTGTCAACAGTATGCAGGGGCCAGCCCTTAGTCCTGATTTAAACCCAGTTGAACATCTTTGGGGTGAAGATTAGAGGAGACTGAATAATGTCATACCAAGGCCGAACAGAGCCGATATATTGCGCCAGGCCTTTCTCAGAGTGTGGTTCAAGGTGCCAATGGCCTTCATCAATCGATTGGTGCACTCCATACATAGACGCTGTGCTGCAGTTATTGCCGCTCGTGATGGTCACACTAGATACTGAAGTCAAGAGTCTGAATGGACTGCACACGTTCACGTAATGTCTTGGAATTGTGCTGAGTTAAGCATTGATGTGTCAAGATATTGTACACAAAAAATGTTTTTGATCCGCTTTTTATGTCCATTTCTGTAATGATTTGATTACAGTGCCTATCTAATTTTGAATTCGTACTGACGTATTTTTTGCTGCTGAGTATATATTCCCACTCTGAAAAAATTCCTTGTTGAATTGCGTCTAATATTTGTCAAAGGTTTGTTTCATAAATGTGTTTGTTTCTTTGTTTTCCTTGTCGCGGAAATTGTGTTTCAATCTATACTGTTAAAATATCATACTTTATGGAAGCGTATTCTTCGTAGATCATATGAATACGTAGACGATACTTTC